AACTTTAAAGTATATTTTATGGGAACATATTTTTATACTGGAAGTGACATCAAAATTTAAAATCCTTCTCTTCAAAAAAGCTAACATTTTATAATCCCATCATGAAATCTCTCAATCAGAAGAAATGAATATTTTGTTTTCATTAAGTCACTTATCATTTAGTGTGGAGCTGGGTAAGAATAATTACAGTATGATTAGTGATCTAAGTTTGAGATGAAAGTTGTTCAGATAAGATTTCAGTACATATTTTCTATTTCCAGAAGCCATGAAATATTTCATTAGACAGTATATCACAAATGAAGGTCTATGTGAACATTAAAAGCTACTCACTAAATTTAAATTATTTTGGTTGATATGAAAATAGAAGAAAAGGGAGCCCATTAACCCAGCTTGGAAATCATTTAGTAAATGATTCCTATCTCAAGGTTTTCAAGATTTGCCATTCATTGAAAATTACAGTATCAATAACAGTTCTCTTTAGTATAAATTTACAATGAGCCAGGGTAGTGGTAGTTCTTAAGCATGAATTCAAGTAAATACCGTTGTGACCTTTCAGATTACATTTCTCAAAAGTAACGTTATCTGATGTTTTATAATAAATGTGTGTTTTGACTGATAAGTAAATAATAATACAGACTACATTTAAAAATATATCTATCTAACATGTCCAGTCTTTGTATGTACCTCCCTATCCACTTAACATAAACATGAGCAGATGTTAAAATGTCATGGTTTCAGTCTGTGTTTGCAAGTGTTTTCAAATTAAAAGACGAAAACATTTCCCTATTATCTTACTACAAATATTCTGCAAATATTTAAATTTTAAATTTGAAAGCAAAGAATGTTTTGAGTTCAAAAGCATGACTTTGGGGTACAGACAGTTGTCATAGTATTTAAAAAGCCTCAGTAAAAGAGGTCCTCATTCCTAGACCATTAAAGGACACATAAGCCCTTCTTTTGCCATATCAGAGAACATTTCAGCCTTATTTGTTGTTATTTGAGACAGGATGACCTTGAATTTTCTATGTAGCTCAAGCTGGCATCAGCCTTGAAATCTGGCGTTCGATCCTCCTGCCTCAGCCTCTGAGTGCTGGGATTAAAGCTGTGTACCACCACACCTGGCTCAAAGGGTATTTCAAGAAAAGTGTGTGAACATTAAAATCTTGATTTGTTGATTGTGTTCGCCTGAGAATCCAAAAGAAGAAGCCCAAGCTGCAGAAGGCAGACCTTTGGCACCGGGGTGCAGCCCACCTCTCCCGCCTGGCTGGAGCCCAGCTCTCTGGGGTGAAAAGGCAGGGCTGATAGATGAGCGAGTCTTGGTTCTGCTTTTCATGGGCCTCATGGTTTCATGCAAATCATGTAATCAGTCTAGGTCTCTGTTTTGTTGGTTGCTAAATTAGGTTTAAAATGTTTACAACTTTTTGCCCCTTATGTATGAAAAATATGAAATATATATTTTGAGTTTCTCATATAGGAGAAACCAGTTGAAATGAAAGCCTGTGTCTGTGCGACTTGTTTCACTTAACATTATGTTCTCAAAATGCATCTGTTTTCCTCTGGATTCAAGTTTGTTTTTCTTGAGGATGATGATACTCAGGGTATTAACTATTATTATTTTTTATTATTTCTTTATAAAAAATAAAAATGGCACAGTGTGGGACAGCTGGGAGGATGAGACAGACGGTTTGCTGGTCTGCGTAGTGGTCACTTCGCGAGCTCAGCGATCAAGCTCAGGCCTTGGCCCCGGTCTGAGCTAGCTGTGGGCCGCGTGGTGAGGGGAGCGTATGGCTTCCGAGGGGGTCTGATTCCCACAAGGCCCCCCCAACTTCCTTCCTGTCTGCACCTCGCACGCCGCCCTTCGCGTTTCCCCACCCCTGCTCTAAGGCTGGAAGCAGGGGCACACTGGGGGGGGGGGCGTGTGCCTGTGGGTGCCAGTGTCTCTAAGCTCGGCACTATTTTGCCTCTTCTCCCCTCACCAGCCCTCCTTGCAGCCCCCTTGTAACTGTTTAAAGAAAGGGCAGGGGAGGATCGAAGGAGAGAGAGTTACTGAGAGCAGCTGCCATCAAGAAGAGGCATTTCCAAGAAAGGAAGACAGTTAGATAACTGTTCCTTCCTCCCTCCTCCCAAGAAAACCCCCTCTGAGATTCAGCCCTTTGTGAAGATCAGAGGTTTCTCACAGTTGGGTGCTGGAGGAAGCCCCAAGCCTGGCTCCTGGTTCCACACCAGAGGAAGGGTGGTCTGGTAGCTGGGTTCCAGCCAGCAGGAAAGGAGTGTCACAGCTTGCATGGCAGCGCCTCCCAGGCCTTCCAGACCCTACAGCGGGCCACACTGGAGTTACGGCAGAGCGTGTGAGGGCTGAGGTGGGGCCTGAGCTCCCAAACCAGGCTATGGCCCCTGGCTTTGTTTCCCAGAGCAGAGCTCACCTCACCTTGGCTAGAGGCAGAGGTTGCCTTTACCCCAGCTGCTGCTTTTCTGAAAGAAAGGGGATGTTGTCTCTTGCTGTTTTGAATTCTCTGCCACCCCAAATCTTCTAGAAGCTGGGGTGGGAGAAATCCTTCATCCTCACTTTGCCAGGGCCCATCAGTCTTCAACCTGGCTGAAACGGGCCTGGTCCTCGGTGGCCAGGCACCCGTGGGCTCTTCAGCGAGAGCAAGCAGCCTACTCTTGAACAACAAAGTGAAGTGCCTCCTCACACACTGTTGGGGCTGTGCCCTGCTGAGAACCACGGTTCGCTTTGGCCTGCCCAGTCCTCTGGGACAATCCAAGGCAGTTTCTCTTAGTTTAGCACCAGAGGCCCAGAACGCTCCCTCATCTTGAGCTATGTTCATTTTTATCCAGTGAGCACTGAATTTTCTATGTGGTTTGTTTCTTGCTTCATGCTATTTGCTGAACCACACAGCATTGTTTCTTTTAACCTCACTCCTTGTTTTAGCTTAATTGTAAGCTTCATTTCTCTTGACCTCATTTTAAAATCTCTCGTTTTTAACTCATTTTTATCTTGCTAAGGTGCACCCACCAGTACAAGCTAGTCCAATTTTTTTTTCCCCCTGTAATGGGGATTGAACCCAGGCCTCATGCTTGTGAGGCAAGCGCTCTGCCCTTGAACTACCGTCTTGGTCTAGATCCATTGATAAAGTCAGAGATAAATAAGGTACCCAACTGGCATAGGGCATTAGGTTCTGCTCACCTAATAACAGTGCGATGGCAATTTAGCTTTCCACAGAGTATTTTCTAGAAGATAATACATCCGTCAGAGAGCTCATGCATCTTAGTGGGCAGATTCAGTTTCTACCGAGCTTTAACAAATTGATACTTGTGTTTATGTACAAGTCTCTTGTGTGGTTGGTAACTACAAGTCCATCTATGAGACAGTCATCTTTGTACCATTTATTCCTTGAGTTGCTCTGTCCAGACACATGAATCTTCTTTGACTTCTTTACACACGCTGGCTTATTTCCACCTCAGGGTGTCTGCACATACTGTTTGCTTCTGTCGAGGATGTTCCCTCCTTAATCTCCCCTGTGGTCTCCTTCTTATCCATTAGAACAATGGGGACCGCATAAGAGAGAAGTTTAAAATACTAGTGACACCCAGGCCTCAATCCAGGCCAATTAATTTAGAATCTTTATGAGAGGAGTCCAGGTGCTGATACTTTTCAGAAGCTTCTCAGACAATACTAATTTTTAACCAGTGCTATCGGCACATTCAAGTTTCAGCTTAACTGTCAGCTGCTCAAAGAAGCCCTCTCTGGCCACCCCGAGGATGTAGATACTGTTGAGCTGTGTGGCTCAGCTGATTCTCTGGCTCCTTTGGCATCGTGGTTGTGTTTTAGAATTACTACATTTCTTAGAGTGTTGTTTCTGAGATTCCTCACCCTCCCTAGGCTCTGGATGCTGGAATGACCCGGATGATATCATGTGGGTCTTTGGGCTTTTTGCCTAAGCACAGTATCAGGCCTGGAACAGGATTCTGAGTGAGAGTGTCCCCAACTCGACCCCAGCACTGAACACTGTGTCTCAACAGACAACGGCTCTGCCACGTCCGCTCACTTGAATGGCAGTGACTTTATTCCTATGGCCCACAGGCATTTTGACCAAGACATCACCCTGGTGGAAGCACTTACAGCTACCTGAACATTTAGGACACAGGCGATTGAGACGGCACTGTGAAAGGTAGTTGGTTCAGGCAGTGCAGCCGTCATCTAGATTACTGCAGGTGGTCTCCACAACTGGATCGCAGAGGGGCAAAACAAATTTGTGTTTTCAGGCAAATAATGAAACTCCGAATGTCTGAAAACAACTCAGAGTCCAGCACCTCCCTGCACAGGTGCAGGGCAGCAGCCGAGATCTCAGTGTGGTTGAGCTCATTCTTTCCAAATTATTATTTGGTAATTAGTAATAGGGCAAAGCCACACAACTGCCCCACCCTGCTGTGGCCCCTCATGACTCCCCCATGCACCAGGCCGACATGTGAGGTCCCAGGTGCTTTGCCCCACACTTGAAGTAACCAAGACCCATCAGAGCAGTGAATTCTGTTTTTTCTCTTCTTCTTAATTTTACTTTCTTCAAGAATCATCTTCGTTTTTCACTCCCTGTTCCTGGAATTGTATGGAGGGGATTTGCTGGAGGAAAGTGGTGTTACGGGGAGAGAAATGATCCGAGGATGAGAGGTGTGGAAGGGAGGATGAGAGATGTGGAAGGGAGGATGAGAGATGTGGAAGGGAGGATGAGAGATATGGAAGGGAGGATGAGAGATGTGGAAGGGAGAGATAAATTAGACACAAATGCAGCCATGCAGCAAGGCTGCCTCTCGTTCTGCCTCTTAGCTGGCTAGGTTTCATGTTCTTATGGGCTTGGGGGGAAATGCACGTGTACACCCCCAGGCCACACAAATGAACCCCCTCCGCGGAGAAGCCAGCTACAGGAAACTGACTGATGCACAGGAACTTGCTAATTGCTTTGTCACATTTGGATTGTTCCTGCTGTCTCGGTCACCTCGCACACACTGAGCCCAGCCACCGCTGGTTGGCTTCCTTACCGGTGCGATTTCACATTTTTAGTTCTTCCAGCGTGAATCAGTCAGATTCGTGGATGGCAAGGCTGGGGCACTCAGCACACTGAAGAGCCTTGGGCTGTGTTTGTGTTTTACCTACCTGCACTGGGCGAACTTGACTTCCGGAGTCAGGCATTTTGGTGGCAAGACATTTTGGGGGGCATTCCACAACAGGTAAGATTTTTACCTTTTAAAAGCATTTCTTCAATGTCAGCAGAAATCTTTCTGATTGTATTTAGCTTTTACTTTAGGCTGAAGATGGTAATTAGTGTGTTTCACCTATTAAAAAGTGTAGAACCAACTTACAGAAGGTGGGAGAGTCACTCTGCTCTCCATCCCCTCCCCTGAAGTCCGAACAAGGCACATGTAGGCTTCAGAAACATTAAAAAGGACAGTGGCTGGGTTTTTAGATGGTTTTCTAGATGTTTCCATAGAGAGTACATGGGCTTGTAACTGACTATCATTGAGCTCAACTCTATGGGCTGTTTAAAATTTAAACTTTAAATATTACCCAATGTATGATGAATAAACCTAAATATGCTCTAACGTGTGCAGACATCAACCCTAATATATTCAGAAAAGACAGAACCAAAAATCCAAATGATGTAGATTTGGACCCCAGATTTCTCGCTTGTTTGTTTAACTATAGCCAATCACCACTTTCTAAAGGTAGCCTATGATGGCTATGTTGTGCTTTGAAATCAAGTTTAGTTTTTTGAAGTGGTTTGATTTGGACACATGCTGTGAAGGTAGTTTGATTTGGAGACATTCAGTGGCCTTGGTTGTAGCTAAGTAAAGTTTGGGAAATTGGTGGGTTTTGGTGCTTTGCTAAACTAAAGCTGCCACTGAAGTTTTCAAGCAAGATGATGAGCCCTTATTGCTTCTGAGCTGGTGCTGTAGACAATACAAGAGAAATACAAAGAAAACTCGTCTTCAGTGGAACTTAGAAGCTAGTAGTTGTGGCGAGAAGTAGGACTGAGGCAGCAGGGCATGATGGGAATTGGCAAGTAGTAGGGTGGCAGGGGTGAGGGGTTCCAGGAGTTCAGGACAGGCACTTGTGGGCAGGACCTGGAGTGGTCAGAAAGATAGCATTGGAAGGATATGGAGTTTTAGTGCACAGAGAAGGGGAAAGTTATTTCGACCCTGAGCTCTGAGTGCCCTTTGACAAAGGTGAGCCTGACTTGATGAGGGTGACCGACCTGAGGAGAGGAGCAAGTTTCTTTTACACATAGCCAGAAATAGGATTAGAAAGTTAGTGTGTGGACAGATTAAAGGGACTGGGAGGGATGGCTGAGGGAAATGGACCCTTTCCTCCTTATCAGCTATCTCAGCTTTGAGTTCTGTTTGAGGGGAGCATGGCAGTCTTTATCTCCATCTTTGGGGTTGCTTTCTGCACCCTCAAGTCTGTTGGTGGTCCCTCCTTTGTCCTTTAGTGTCTTCCCTTAGTGTACCATTTACGCAGACAAAGGCATGCGTGGCTTGTGGTACAGAGAAAACCTACACTTCTGGTTTTTGTGTATTAAGAAGGCCTTTCAATCATCCTGTAATTAATGTGGCCTTCCTCTTGGGAGGACAAGTTGCCCGGGGGTTAGCAAGTCTGTGTTTCTCAAAAGCCCATCCTAAATCCCACAAATCAGGTGTTACATCCTGTGGATGTCTGAATGAGGTGTTATGGAGGGGACATGTTGCTGTTCTGTCTTTGGTTGTGGCTGTTGGGACTAAGGTTGTCGCAGTGGTTCCTGACTGTGAAATATCTGAGTCCATATGATACAAACACACAGGCAGCTTGCTGTGTAGTGAATCAATCCTCTTTTGGCTGTGGAAGCCTGAAAAAATCATTTAAATTCTTCAATGTTTAGATTTTTTAAATATCTGTGAAATATCTCTAATGACAGTCACAATAACTGAAAGTACTAATCCCAAGGGTTGCTGGAGAGATAAAATGAGATAAAAAATATGTGAAGCACTTAGCCTAGTGCCTGGCATAAAATAAACTCTCAAAGATGTAGCTATTATGATTCATTTAAAAATTTTATCAGTATGTGTTTGCAATACATGACGCTTACATGGACCCGAGGGAGTGGGTATAGATGCACTTGATTCTTTTTGTTCCCTTTGCCCCTCCACTCACTTCCCTTCCCCCAACACTAAATCTACTTTCCCTATTTCCATTATTATTGTTATCTTTAGTTTATTATGTTAGGACATATAATGTTTACATTCCTTGTGGCTGTTTGGTAAAGACTTGGTTGTGGACACAAATGAGGACAATCTGATCCCTGGGCTGAGAGCAAGCTACCTCCAAACTAATACTTTTAATGCCAATCCTTTCAAAGGAAATTGGGGGTGACAGGTAGAGGCCAAACATTAACATTTTTTTCAGCACCAAGTATGCACTAGACATAAGACTTGGTGGTTTATACTGACAGCATGTCTTTTTTGTTTTTTTTTAAAGGGAAAATCAGATTTCCATAGCAGCCTCTCGGCTCCTAATGGAACTTCTCTGAGTATCTGCTGTATTACTTCTGGGCCTCTGTGGTTGATGTTGCTTTCTGAGTGCTTTGATTGGAATCATACAGGTACTTGGCATTATGGGCAGAGAGTGACATTTTTTTCCCTGGGATTGTTTCTATTGCATTATTTAACTCTATGTTATTTTGATTTTAGTACTAGTAAGGCACAGGTGAAAGGCACTCATAATCAGGAGTTTGAACCATTTTGGTCTCTCTCATCGCTTATTTGGGTTCTGGATGCTTGGGTCTGGACGGCATCCAAGATTAAAAAGCAGCTTGTTTCCCCTTCCACCCTCTAGATTAGAGATCCTTTTGGGCTAGAAAGACCCCTTTTAAAAATACAAGCACAGCTGGTACCTTAATTATGCAGGAGATTCTTAATTATGTGTGCAGATTACTTTAATCAAATGGTAATATTTTTTTTTTCCTTGACACTCCCCAAGAACACAAGGGAGGGAATTTGGGGCTCTGTGTGTGTGGATGGATGGACATGGATCACATCAGGTGTGAGGAGGAGCCTGGTGGGCATCAGTACTGGGCTTGGCTGCACAGTGGGGGAGGAGGGTGGGAAAGATGGAAGGGAGGTCTAGCGGGAAGGCGGGTGCCAGAAACATGCAGCCCTCCATGGTGCGTTCCTTACTGGACTCCAGCAGCTGCTTGAATCCCCTGAATAACTTCTTGGTAAGTTGCATAGCAGACTGTCATGCTATTCACCAGATGTGGACAGTAGTTCAGAGGCGAAGTTGATTTGTCTAGTTTTGGCCTGGAATAGTGTTTCCTAAAGCTGACTGGACATTAAGACCACTTGGGGGGGGGGCGCTACTCCTTAGCTCAGTTCTTTAAGTGACTGCTTCAACAAAGCAGTCAGGATCAGGTTGCTGTGGTTTGATCCCCACAACTCAATCCAGCCAAACCTGCCCTGAAGGCATTCGGAGAAAAAAAATCCTTCTGCTATTTTTAGGGGCCAGAGAAATGGCTCAGTGGAGTAAGCGCTTCCCTGGCAAGCGCAAGGGCCTGAGTTCAATTCCCGGTTCCGCCAAAAAAAAAAAACAAAAACAAAAACAAAAACACTTAGGGGAATTTTTGAGAATTAGGAATTCTCATGACTCATACCATACCCTTGGGAAGAGATCCAGAAATCTACGTGATAGAAAATATAAGCCCTAAAACAACCTGCAGCAGTGATTTTACAGGTGTGGGTGTGGGAGCCATTCTTCTAGAAAGAACTGTCCTACCGGCACCTAGGATGGTAACTGAGTAAGTGCTGAGATAGGCAGCTCGGTCTCTTGCTTGTTGCGATTAATATCTTCATATAGAAAATGTTTTGTGTTTGCCTTGAATCTCCTTCTTAGGATGAGTTCCTGGGAGTAGGAAGCCTCATTGGGGTGTGAGCTTCTGCAGCTCAGTCATACTTACGCTTTAACTTATAAACATAAGGTACTACTTCTTTAAAAGCTCTAAAGTCTCCCATACACATAATCTGGGGAAGCCCAAAGAAAGAAATGTGTTCTCAAGAGACAAAGTGCCAAATCACTTTCCATCATTCTTTTCCTATAAGACTGAATACTGGTAAATTGCTTTTGGAAGAAATTTCCAGAACATCACTGAATACCCGGTGGCTTCTTAGAGCGTAACTTGGAGCCTTCTTGTCTCTGCAGTTGTTTCTTGTAAAACTGAAGTCAGCAGTGACCTCTTCCCCATTTCGTAGAAAAGAAAACCAAGGAAGACAGTGAAGTAACATCCAGCGTGGCTTTCATTACATTTGCCATGAGAACCACACAAGTAGTTATCCTTTCAGTTTATTGTTAAAGCAAGTGACTGAGTAGCTTGTGTATGTGACCTCATGGAAACAACTCTGTAAACTGAATGTGTGGATGGATAGGTAATGAATCAACCCACATAGGAGGCAGACAACCACTGTGTTGTGTGTGCGCGCGCGTGTGTGTGTGTGTGTGTGTGTGTGTGTGTGTATGTATCCTGTTTTATTCATTATTTGTATAACCTATCTTTTTTTACATAACCTATCTTAAAAGCATGGTCTTTATTTGTTAAACAGATAAGAACAAGATGAATTTTTGCTAAGCTTCAATAACAAAACGTGCTCTTGCGAAACATCAAGCAAAGTGCTTACAGTTGTTTTCTGTTACCGGCCTGCATTTGCTTGCAAGAGCAGATTGTGATATTTTCAGAAAGTTTGCGAGCAGGTAGACTTACTTATTCCTATTTTTTGCATGATGGACATAGTAGACCACTACTGAGTAATATATGCTACTGGGCCATCTCTTTGCCCAGTGGTGTCATGAGAAACTGGTTGTAATGGGAGTGTTTATGCCCCAGAAATCGGCAAATGCAAGTTAAGCTTGTTATTTATTTTTTTTTTTTTTGAGAGCCTATTGCTAAACACTTTCTAGTATATCACTGAGGAACTGTGTGAAATACAAATATAGCAATTTTTCAATAAGTAACAAGCTCCATTAAAATGTTTGTGTACTTTATCCATCCCATTTTATCTCTGGAAATTCTAAATAAATTCTAAATAAGGAAGAAAGGAAGGAAGGAATAAATATGCACGAACACATTCATTGTGTTATCATTTATAACAGCAAAATCTGAAAATAATCCAAATCCTATGCAATAGGGTTTCTCGAAGTATTAACTCCA